TCCAAGTAGCTCAGCTGGTGGCCTTCGTAGGTCTGCTGGTGGCCCTCGTAGCTCAGCAGGTGGCCCCATTGCTGGGGTGAGGAAGCCGTAGGCGTCGTAATTGTCGTAGCCGTTGCCGAAGGCGGCCCCGGCCTCCACAAAACCCACCACGTCACGCGTTGTGCGTTCGAAACTGTTCTCTGGTGCCTGCGGCCCAGCGACCGCCGTCAGCAACTTGTGTCACGGGCGAGGCCATTGAACAATTGCAGAAAACGCAACCGCCAACGGGCGGGCAAAGGTGTGTGTGTGTGTGCGCATTAAAACCGAAAACGTGCGAATTATGTTTTACGTATGTATATATAAATATATGAATATGTATACTTCAATACACACATGTGCGAGCAACCCCGTTCAATAACAAGTGCCACGCGCAACATTCACTGACACATTGTTCAAACTGCCTTCGCGCACATGCAGCAGCGCACTCATATACTCCAAACCACGCATTTATTACACCGCATATGCGGCCTTACATGCATATGTGGGTGTGCGTGTATGCTTGTACGAATGTATGTATATGTGCATACATGTTTGTATGCATGTATGCATGTCTGTATGTATGTATGTATGTATGTGTGTGTGCCTGCATGTGTATTCCTGGATATATGATTACATGTATGAATGTGTGTATGTAATCATGCGTGTATATTTGTAGGTGTGTATGGATGTATATGTGTATGTTTGTATGTCGGTGTCCATGTCTGTACTTGCTTTATCTGCACACATACATACGTATGTATGTATGTATATATATGTATATATATATATATCTTACAAAACCCCCAACAGTGTCTGCCTCTACTTATTCCTATTTCTGTTATACAAAACTGGGCCTGTGCGTCGGTCTGGCGGCTATGTTGTCACGGTCGCCATCCCGTCGCCGCCTTGTCGCTGACCATCGTAAAGTGCCTGTGCGTCGGCCTGGCCGCTATGTTGTCGCCGTCACCGCCCCGTCGCCGCCCCGTCGTCGCCTCGTCGCCGCCTTGTCGCCGCCCGTCGTCTGGGCCTGGGTGTCGGTATGGCGGCTCCGTGCTTGACGTCGCCACCCCGTCGCCGCCTCGTCGCCGCCCATGGAACTTCCTTTCTGACGAAAAACTATGGCTCTTCACCCCCCGGATTATTGGTACCCCTTGTGAGTATACAATTACCAAATACTTTTCTGCCCCATCGTACACTTTTCGTCGGAACCCATACCATCCAAGCGAGGCCTGGTATCGACCACCAGGACCCCCGTCAGATTATACTCGGCGCGAGCACTCGATGATAAAAACTCGCGAAGTTCCAATCCATTCAAAAAGAGGAACACTAAGTCGACACGCGCGCGTTATCGCCCGCGCGTGCCCCCGAAAACACAAATCATGTTTTGCAACATGCCGTTTCAAACAAGTCTGCGCGCTTGCGAATCCATTTGGGGAAAACATTTTTTTACAACCGCCATCGCATGCGACCAAGCGGGCGTTTCGCGCGCGCGTGTCGGAATCAGATGAAGGCCCCAACTCGATTGCTGGGGGGAGGGGGTCGCGACACCGGTCAAATTATACCATGCGGGCCGCTCGCGCCCGTCGGTCGCACGCGCATGTCTGAATTGCTCTCAAAACTTTAATCACCGACGCGTGGACGCCATCATCGCTACTGGCGTGCTCAACACCCGCGCCGTCATTGGCCTTGCCGGCGTCATCGTCATCATCGTCACCACCACCCCTACACTCATCATCGTGTCCGCTGTTGTCGACGTCGCCACGATACCGCGCCCGCCCGGGTCACTGACCCGCTCTGAAATGCGCGCGCATTGGCGCGGCCTGCGAGACGCGCTGCGGCGCGCTCGCTGGTCAGTGCCACCGCGGCCGCGTCGGTCGCGCCAGAGTAGCTGGCCGCTTTGCGCACAAGCCTGCGCGAGCTCGCGCGGCCGCAGCGATGCGCCAGCCAGCGCAAAACAGTCATCGCAATCGCCGCCGCATGGATTTTGCTAATCAAGAAGCGGGCTGGCGACTGGGATGATTGCGCGACCAGTGAAGTTGGCAAATCTCTGGTGGCCATTCGTTACTTGCACCACACAGCTTGCACATCATAGATTGCACTTCGTCGGTATCACAACATGTGTTGCACCACGCACACCTTTTTCGCACAACACAGGGTGCACGACATCGGTTGCACTAGGCGAATTGTAATACGAAGAGCGCACCACATATATGGCAAAACACAAACTGCACCACGCATATTGCGCCGGATAGATTACAGTGCCTCTATTGCACAGCATACGTTACACAGTCTCGGCCCTCAGTTCCAAAAGATATGTACATTCTCCACGGTTTGGGGTCCACGGTGGCTAACGTATATGAGATTCCCCAAGCAATGTTTGCACTCGGGGCTTCTTGCCTCTTGCTGTAAAGGAACTGGGCCTGGCTGGCGGTCTGGCGGCTATGTTGTCGCTGTCGCCGCCCGTGGCCGCCGTCCGTCGCCGCTGCTTCTCTGTCTGGCTGGCGGTCGCCGCGCTTGTTGTCGCCGTCGCCGCCGTTCGTCGCCGCTGATTCTGGGCCAGGCTGGCGGTCGCCGCGCTTGTCGGCGCCGTCGCCGTCCGTGGCCGTTGTTGTTTCTGTCCCTGGCTGGCGGTCGCCGCGTTCATTGTCGCCGTCGCAGCCGTCCGTCGCCGCTGCTTCTGGAATGGCTGGCGGTCGCCGCGCTTGTCGCCGTCGCCGCCCGTCGCCACTGCCGCATAGTTTACACCACGCAGCGCGAAGATTGCAGCACGCAGATTGCACCACATAGACTGCACTACATACATGTCCCGCTCTAAAAAGGAATCAGGACCGACTCCGCTTGAAAATTCCGGTTGCCCTTGGGATAACGCAAATTGCAAATAACCTTGCCCCATCGTTCACTTCAAGTACGAATTTAAAACATCCCAGTCAAAACGGTATCGGCACCCTCCTCCCCCCCCCCTTACTCTTCCCTGACAAACAAAGCTATGCAAGCACACTTGTTTCACAAAAAACACGAGGCTCATAAATCCTAAAGAAGCCGACACGTACGCAAGAGTTTGACAGATGAAGGGCGGGTCGTTTTCAAACTGCGGCTCTCGCCTGAACGTCGCGTACACCCGTCATGAGCATTCGTATGGAGGGCGGTCAGTTTTCAATATGTAGCTCTCGCCCAGCATTTCACGGATGGAGGCGTTTCCTTTTCAACATTTGGCTCGCGCCTAGAGCCGCGCACATTCGGTTAAATAATTTGCAACATCTTCACGGATCGAGGGCAATCCGTTTTCATAATGTGGCTCTCGCCTTAGCGCCGCGCGCACTCGTCTTAAAACAAACACTGCAAGATACTCACGGATGGAAGGCGGGCCGTTTTCAACATGTGGTTCTCGCATTAGTGCCGGGCACACTTGTGAACAGTTTGCAGGAGCTTCACGGATGGAGGACGGGCCTTCTTAAAAATGTGTTTATCGCTCTCGCCCTGCGCACATTCGGTTGAACAAACTGCACGAGCTTCACAGATGGAGGGCGGTCCGTTTGCAAATTGTGGTTCTAGCCCTGGCGCCGCGCACATTCGTTCAGCGTTTTTTGTTTTGAGAGCTTCACGCGTGGAGGGCGGTTCCTTGTCAAAATGCGGTTCTTGCCTGCGCGCCGCGCACACGTGTCTTAAACATTTTCAGCAGCGTCGAACGCTTCTCATAATTAACGCACCAGGCATGGTGTGTTGGCACGATGTCGGAATACGAGGGCGCAGCAATCACTTTGATTCGCGGTGTTGCAATCCAGAGAATGGTGGTCTGGCACGGCTCTGGATCGCCAAGACGCAACAAATATGGCGATTCGCGGCGCTGAAATCTCAAGAATGGTGTTCTGGCACACTTCCGGATTTTCAAACGTTCGTCTTCCAACGGGGCACTTCTGTCAATGAAACTGAACCCTTGTAAAGGGTCTATCTTGGGTCCGCGGCGAGAAGGAACATGACGCTCACAACTGTGATGCTGCCTGTCTGTGTGGTCCGCGGCAGCCCTCTGCGACATAGCGTGGGCAAGCAATGAACAATCCCTTGATGCGTGTGTCCCCGAATTGGCAGAAGGTCGAACTGAAACATTTTTCGTAAATATGCAATTCGGCGGCGAGCCAGGAGGGGAAGTGCGAAAGTGAAGGCCTTCTCAGAAGGCTCGGAAGTCCCCCAGCCTTCTGAAAAGTGTTCGGAGCCTTCCTTCCCTGACGACAGAAAACAACTTCTCAAGAGGAGCGAGGGTTTCTGAGAAGTCTCGCCGCCTTCTGAGAAGGCCTTCTCCTTCTCATTTCCCCCCCTCGCTCGCCGCCGAGCAATGTGGTGATTTACTTCAGGAGGATCAAGTAAACGGATGCAATGTGCTCCTCAAGACACGCGACACTCGACCTCTGATTCCAGACGAGACGAAGGACGAAGAGACAGAGGACGGTGACAGACTGCAGCAGAATGAGCGCCACGAGAAGACGAGCAGGCAGCAGGCAGGCAGGTGCAGGAAGACGGGGGTGTAGGGTGCATAGTCCTGGCCGCTGACCAAGCCCAGAAGAGCTAGACACCCCTTCGGGGCCCAAAGGGGCCTGATATTTTGACGGAGTACAGCCCCGCACGGAGGGAGGTTGGAGAGGAGGTGGAGGGGGAAGGGGGGAGGAGGACATGTTTTTAGACGAAGTCAAGTCACTAGCGACTTCCGAGGACTCGTGGTCAGCCCCATCCCGTTGCCGAGGGTCTCGGTGTCACATGATGATTGAAGAAATCCCTGCCCTGACCATACACGAGCGGAATTTCCCACAGCTCGGCTGATATGTACAGTTGGTTTCCCCCAAAGCTCCTGCGCTCACCAGTCCTTGATCGTGACGACAATGCTTCTCGGCTCGCTGCCACCCGTCCGTTTCTCGCCTCTCTGGCTCTCCGCATACTGTCAGCGCATTCAGCTTCCGCTGGTCCCACGGAGTTTGCCACCAGACGCACTCTCACCCCTCGCTCGCGCAGGCGACCTCGCAGGGCTGGCATGTAGACTCAGTCCGAAGCTCGACCCTGGTGCCGACCCTCAGCACGGCACTGGCGGGTATCCCATCGGCCGGGCTCGGGGCCTCGGCGGCGGTGCCGTAGCCAATGATGGCCACCTTGCAGCAGCCCTCGGCCTCCACTTGGCGGCCAGCCCTGGGGAGAAGTGAGAAGGGGCGGGCCTTCTCAGAAGGCTCGAAAGTCCTCCAGCTTCCTGAGAAGCGTTCTGAGCCCACCCCGAAGACACAGAAAACCTTATCATGAAAAGGGCTTCTCCCTCTCACTTCCCCCCCAGGCGCGCCGCCGATCCATCATTAGCCATGCCATCGTTCGGACGTTCACTTCCCGTGCATGTTTCGATTTCGCGCCTTCGTTGCTGCAGGATGACCCAAGATGCTCATCGATGATCCCTGCCATGAAGACATGCGCAAGTCCGAACGATGCCAAGTAGCTGGGCGACGCCCTGGCCACCCACGTCCCTGCCGCTGGCCCTGGCCGCCCAACAAAACCGGCACAGCAGTAGCCCGAGGCGCCCTCGCCACACCACCTCCGCAGCGCCCCGCGCCTCGAAGGGGTGCTGCCAGAGCTTTCGTAGATGATGTTGAAGACGCTGGAGGCGTTGTTTGGGGCCAGATTTCAAGATTGGCGTTTTCTCCCCCACCGTTTTGGGATCCGTCGTCTTGTTTCGGGTTTGGGCGTCTCGTTCGCGCCGTTGTCGGTTCGGTTCCGTTTTGTGCTGCCCTTGTTTGGTTTTGGATTCTAGGATGGCGCTTGTTCTTACGTGGTGGTTGGCCGAACGCCCCACAGCTGAAAACGGACAAGACAACGCCCTCAGCGCTTCTGACATCAACTAAGGTGCCAGAGGCGGTGCCTGGTGAGGAGTGTCGAGGGCGCACGGGCCACTCTCGGGCAGGCCTCGTGCGGCCAGGGCCCGCCGGAGGGCCACGGAGGGCCAAGGCGCTGCGAAGCTGTTGGCCTCCGATCCCAAGAACTCGACGCCCTCGGTGGACCCCACGAAGCAGCGGATCTCTTCGAAGCTCGCGTGCTCGGCGCTGCCGTTGCGCCTGGCGTCGACCACAGCCAGCTGCGTGCCCGTCGTCACAGCGCGCAGCAGAGAGGCGTCAAAACCGCTGTCGCCGGTCCTGCGCCGCCAGAAGGCCCCTACATCCACAGCTGGTGGAGCCCTGCCCTGGATCCGAGGGGAGCGGTGGATGTGGACATGTTCCCGCCGTCGTGGGTGGGAAGATGTCCGTCTCTTCACCGCTCCTCGAGCTCCTGGGCCCGACTCCGAAGCGGCGGATCTGGATATATTCTGGCGGTGGAGGTCCAGCCCACCGCGGCCCCCCGGAAGCGAACCACTGCCCCGAAGCATCGCTCGCCGTGGCGCGCGCTGTGCGCCGTGACCTCCAGCTCAGAGTCCGAGTCTTGCGCAGAGCACGTTCCGGAGAGCCGCACGGGCCTTCCCTCCGGCGACTGTTGGGGAGGACGAAGGGGAGGACAGTAAAAGGGAGATGAGTGAGTCAGCTCACGTAGCTGGTTTTCACAGCATCTCCCCGCGCCAGAGGCGCCAACGCATCGAGAAAAGCGCCTGGCGCCGCGGCCGAGACTAGCTGCATGCAGCAGATGTCATAATTCCCCCCCCATTCCCTCTTTCGTGAGATCCGCGCCTCCAGCCACTCGGCGAAATCCTCCAGTGAGCGGCCCAAGCTCGCGTGCTCGTGCATGCGGTGCTCCTGAAGGCCTATCCAAACTGGGCTGCAGCAAAGCAAATGCGGTCAAGGACCGCACTGCTTCGCCGATGCATCGGCGACGTCGGGATGAAGAATACCAAGCTCTCGCCGATGCGTCTGGGGAAACCAAACGATACCAATACCGCTACTCTCCAGACCTCTCCTCCCGTGGTGAGTCCTGAACAGACCCTCGAGGCAAATCCAGCCGTGGCGACGAGGGCCTACCAGGAGGCCCAAACAAGGGGAATCGAGGGAAGGGTGGCGGTATCGGTACATTTTCTTCCTCTGCGCGTCGACGACGCGGCGCGATCCTCCGACCGCATCTGCTCTGGCCCCCTTTGGGCGGCATGGAGGTCCTTCAGCCGCGAAGCCACCTCGGGGGCTGCCACGACGCGCATCCGCCGCCCCCTCTGCAGCGCCTCCACCGCGAGGACCACGGGCAGCTCGCCGGCGTGGTCCGTGTGGTTGTGGCTCACCTGGGGGGATCAAACGGTTAAGATTGGGACGGCCCAAGCGTATCCCCAAGGCGACGTACCCCCAGTGGGGTGTCGCAGCGGCCAACAGCCACAGTTCCAGCCACGGTGTGCGCGAAATCCCCGCCTCTGGGTGTCCCGAGGAGGGCCCTGAGGCCGTCCCTCCAGTGCACGTCTGTTCTGAGGTACGTTTGGCCTCCTCTGAGAAAATCCCGCTGCTCTCCGGGCATCTCCCGGGGTGCGCTCTGATCGGGCCCGGCGAAAGGGGGGGAATAGCAAAGGGGGGGGGGGGGAGAATCAGCTCACGTAGCTGGTTTTCCTGGCGCCTCCCGACGCCGGGAGGCGCCCATGCATCGAGGAATGGGCCGGGCGGCGGGGCCGAAATTGGCTGCATGCAGCAAATTTCGTACCCCCCCCTTTCCCTATCCCCCCCCTTTGGGGAGGGAACAAAACAAAAAAAAAAACCCTTTCGTTCGGCCCGATCTGACCATGACTCCGGGGCGAATGCAGCCCTGGGGCCGAGGGCCCCCCCAAGAGGCCCAGAGATGCGCGCACGAGGGACGGGCAGCGGCATCGGTGTCGTTGCTCGGGCACCCGATCTCTCTGGGTAGACCTGGCCTGGATGGAGTCCTACGGTGGGGGCACTGGATAAGGAACCCTTAGATAAGGAATCCAGAGTCTGGGGGCCAGTGGAACTCCAATCGAAGCTTGGCCATGGATATCACCGCCGCCCTTCTCAGATAAGGAACCTTCCAGGATCTGCATCATCCTGGGCGCATTCCTAAACCAACGCCCCCACCGTATTTGGTGTCCTCAGATGCGTTTTGGGGAAATCTTGGAACCGCTTGATCTGGAGTCACTCCTGCTTCAGGAGGGCATCAGACAACGTGGGGCAGAATGTGAACAGGGAGGGCTCGAGTTGAGCACAATCCGGGGCAAGTCCAGCGCAGAGGCCCGAATCAGGAGCTATCCCTGACCACCCCCTTCGGCTACACGCAAGAGTGACCCTAGGCCAGAGTGACCTCTGGTGCGTGGCTTTAGGGGGGGCGCGTGGTGGCCAAATCCGAGCGCGCAAGCCAGCGCTGGGGTGGCCCCGGTTGGCCCACACCACAGGTCACTCCGGCGAAAGGCCATTTTAACGCGCAGCCGACACCTGCTCTGATGACTCGGGGCTCTGAGTTACCTCATCTGATCACCAGGATGGTGGACGGCAGCTGGCCGAGCTGACGCAGCGCGGAGGATGTTACGCCCGCACCCACGTCCGCCAAGAGCAGCGGCCGGCCCCGGTACTCCAGGGCCCACGCGCTGCTCGGCTCCCCGTGGTAGACGTGCGTCACGCCAGCGCCAGCCCCGAGGCAGTGGAACACCAACGGCTGCGCGTTGCCCAGGCCGAGAGAGCCCATGATCCGCCTCCGTGCCGCGAGGCACGAGTTGGAGTGTCCTCAGGTCCTCTGTAGTCCTCAGGTCCTCCGTCCTGAGGACTGAGTACAAGGGTGTCATGAAAACGGCCCAGAGCCCATACTCCTAAATCTCCCAAGGCTCCTGGCATGTTTTCTGGGCCCTGGCGCGTCTTCTCGCTTGACTTTCCCGTGCCCAAGAGGGCCCCCCAAACGGGCCAAGAGGGCCCCGAGACAGGAACGGCTGCGGGATGGGCCGAAGGCCAGCAAATACCAACCTCCGCCCCTGGTCCAGGCTGAGAGAGGCAGGCCGAGAGAGCCCATGATAGGAAAACACGCCTGGGCCCAAACCGCCATTAACGAAGGAGGAGCATGAGGGAGTAACGCAGGTGATGCACTAAAGAGGATGTCTGCTGATGTATGGCACGATGCCAGGGCATGGCAACATGCCAAGGGGCTGGATTGGGAGGGGAGCCAAGGCGAAATGAGCACAGGGAGACACAAGGGAGAATCGAACAACAGAACAAGGCACAAACAAAATGTGTCGGAAGTCCGCGCGGATGTCTTGGATCTGCGCCGGGCACCCTTGGTTGCGCCTTCGGCACCGCAGCTGTCGCGTTACGCGCGGCAGGGAGGCGGGTCCAAGAACGATCCAATAAATCACGCAGAGAAATAGAGAGAACAAAAAAACAAAAGAGAGAGAGAGAGAAAGAGAGAGAGAGAGAGAAAGAGAACAACAAAAAAAATATCCTGGCGAAAGACCCAACCAGATGCAGTTGTGAGTGCCGCAATTGTGAGTACCTTCTTCGGTGGCGCTCCCTATGGGGCCACGAACCGCATGAGGGGTATGCCGAAATATGGCGGGGTACACAACGCAAATGAATACGATAGGTCAGATCACGAAAGAATGAACGCGGGTGAGCCAGAGCGCGAGAGAGTCTGAGTGTGAATGGGTCTGCGTGGGAGTGAGTATATTTGCATGAATGCGATCTTGGCGACGCCCAGTGTAAATGTATATGAATGTGAATGGCTCGAGCATGCCTGTCCGAACACTCGTGACACTGGGCGTGGCCGCCGCATGCAGCTTCCGCGGGAACCCCGACGGCAGCGCCCGCGCGCCGCGACGCCCATGTCGGCACGCCCCTCACAGGGATCGCACCCGCTTCCGCCCCTTCTTTTCCCCCCTCTTTGCCTGCGCGCTCCAAAAATCCAAAGCTGCGGGCGCAGAGCAGCGCGGAGTCCCCGCGACGCGCGCAGGTCGCCGCGGAGGGGTCCCAGCGACGCGCGCAGGTCGTCCGCTGCGCGGAGCACAGAGAGCTAGCCGGCCGGCTGATTGCGGGCAAGGCTCCGGCCGCTGGGCAGAGCGACGACGGGCGAGCGAGGCGCTGAGCAGAGCGCCGCGCGGAATCCCCGCGACGCGCGCTGGTCGCCCCGAGAGGGTCCCAGCGACGCGCGCGGGTCGTCCGCGGCGCGAGGCCGAACAATTATGCGGGCAGTCGAGAGAAGGCGCGGCTCGGGGGGGGCGCTCCTCAGGTCAGGCCTCGCGGATAAACTCGGTGAAGCCGAGCTCCCTGGCGAGGGCCGTCGCCTCCCTCCTGCGCCGCTTCGTGCGCGCTGCAAACTGCTCCAGCTGCTTTCGCAGGCCCTCCGGCGGTCCTGCCAGGAAGAACTCGACGCGCGGCGCCCGCATGAGCAGGAGGTCCTCGTGGAGCGTGGCGCGCGAGAGCAGCGCATAGAGCTCCAGCCACCAGTCGTCGTCCTCCTTCTTGCCGTTCCCGACCTCGTGGCGGCCGCAGTCCAGGATCACACCTGGGCGACTCGGCCGAGGGAGCAGTGCGCCGGGCAGCCGACGGCCCAGGGCGAGAGTCCACAGGACCGAGGTCTGGCCGCGGACTGCTCGCGCCCCGGAGGTTTGGCCGTCCCCGGAGCGCCGTTCCCCCGCCCCGTCGCCTTCGCGCATGGTGCGCCCCTGGCACGCCACCGCGGGGATGACCCTGCCGTGCGAGAACGGTGGCGCCATGCGAGCTGCGCCACGTGGACCTTAGGTGGAGCTCCCTACGGGGCCACGAAGCGTGTGAGGGGTGTGCCAAAAGGAGCTCCCTGAGGGGCCGCGAAATCTGTGAGGGGTATGCCAAAATGGGGCGGTGGCGCCATGCGAGCTGCGCCACTTGGACCTCAGGTGGAGCTCCCTGAGGGGCCACGAAACGTGTGAGGGGTGTGCCAAAATGGGGCGGTGGCGCCATGCGAGCTGCGCCACTTGGACCGTAAATGGAGCTCCCTATGGGGCCACGAAACGTGTGAGGGGTGTGCCAAAAAGGGACGGTGGCGCCATGCGAGCTGCGCCACGTGGACCTTAGGTGGAGCTCCCTATGGGGCCACGAAACGTGTGAGGGGTGTGCCAAAAGGAGCTCCCTGAGGGGCCACGAAATCTGTGAGGGGTGTGCCAAAATGGGGCGGTGGCGCCATGCGAGCTGCGCCACTTGGACCTCAGGTGGAGCTCCCTGAGGGGCCACGAAACGTGTGAGGGGTGTGCCAAAATGGGGCGGTGGCGCCATGCGAGCTGCGCCACTTGGACCGTAAATGGAGCTCCCTATGGGGCCACGAAACGTGTGAGGGGTGTGCCAAAATGGGCGTGCGGGGACGATGATGATGATAATGATGATGATGATGATGATGATGATGACGATGATGATGATGATGACGATGAGGATGATAGGAGGGGAGAGGAGGCGGAGGAGGAGAGGAGGAAGGAGACGCGGGGCACCGTCTCTTCAAAACGAGGACCCAACACCACAGGATGGTTGGGAAAAAAAGTGAGAGAGAGAGAGAGAGAGAGAGAGAGAGAGAGAGAAAGAGAAAGATAAACAGAGAGAGAGAGAGAGAGAAAGGCAGAAATTCTCCTGTGTACCACCTTTCGGGAGCTTGTTGAGCACACGGTGTTGCCTCGAAGACGGGGGCTGTTCACTGCAGGGTGTTGTCTTGGAGACTGAAGCTGTTGAATGCAAGGTGGTGCGCGCTACGCGGGCGGCGAACGGGCGGCGGGCGCCCTAGGCGGTGGGTCAAAGGCCTCACGGGTGTGGGTTTGGATCTCGTGGTTGGCCTGTCGGGAACGTCGGGAACGCAGTTTCGCATCTTCTCGGTGACCGCTTTGAGGCCGTAGTGGGGCCTCGTCGGGGCTGTTTTGTGGCCTTTTGAAGCCTCGTTTGGGCCTCCTGGGTGCCTCTCGGGGGCCTCCTGGGGCCTCTTGGGGGCTCCCTGGGGCCTCCGAGCTTGCTCGCGCATCCGATGCGTGGGACTGGTCAGGGTGCACACCAGTTTCGAGCCGATAACGGGGGGCTGCGTTTTTAAGATTTGTTCAAGACGTCGGTTTTCGAGATTGCATGCGGTCTTCGATGGTCGATCGTCGTTCTGCGAATCTTCGATGGTCGATCGTCGATCGTCGATCCTTGACGGTCGATCCTTGATCGTCGATCCTCTTGCTCCTTCTGCTCCTTCTCGTCTTCGCGATCCTCACTTCTCTTCTTCCTCTCATGCTTGGGCAGGTTGATGAGGGGCAGGTCGGCGCAGCTCGGCGCTGATGAGGGGCAAGTTGTTCGGTTCGTCGGACAAGTTAACCGTGGTCCCCGTCGGGGTCCGTCCGGCACAGCGCTGCAGTGGGCTGAATCCATCAATCCTGATCAGGTCGTTCCTGGCAGCTGTCTGGAGTCCAATCATCTCGCTGGTAGGCACTTCAGCTGAGACCATCTCGTCGAAAGCGTCGAGGGCCTCCTTGAAAGCTTCGATCGCGCGCTCAATCTTGCCGATCTGCCAGTGGGCGTCGGCCGCGCATGGAAGACAGTAGACTCCCTGGCTCTCGATCCACTCGCGGAACTCGTTGGAGATGGCGTTGCCAGCGGGATCGTAGCGCATGACCTTCGGGCGTCCCATCCAAGGAAACCATTTTGTCGCAAAAATATGTCGAAGGTCGCCGGCACGAACTTGTCGAGTCGTACCCGGGATCTCCTTCTCGTCGATCAGTCGCACGTAGAGGATGTCTGAGCCGGCGTCGAGGATCGCCAGCGCCATCACGTTCGTCTTCTTGCTGCGACGGATCCATGAGAAGGCGCCGAAGAGAACCTCGTGACCATTCTGTGGCTGCTCTGCGGATGAGGCTGGCGGCCGCTTTGTCGGTGGTCGGTGCGCGTCGCAGATGTCGCACTTGAATGTCCTGGACAGTCGTAGTACCTCTGGGCGAGCACCACGGTCGCGAAGGTATCGTAGTAGATGAGCTCGGGGTAGATGTCCAAGGTTGGTGTGCACCAGCCTGATGTAGCTCTCTATCTTCTTGATCGTCTCTTTGGTGAGGTCGTGAAGCTCCTTGCCGTCTTGAGGTGGAATCGACGGCTCATCCTCCACAAGCGTAGGCTCCGTCGGTGGCTGCTGGGTAGCTGCCATGCAGAAGCACTTCACAACCTCGTCCTCGAAGTAGTTATGGTTCTGGCTCTTGGTCAGAGCCCGGAGGATCCGGCGGCGCAGCATCTTGGGGTAGTAGCCCGAAGCCTCAGTCCTCAGGCTGCTCTCAATCTCCTCGTGGTAGTGTCCTCCACGGCATTGTAGCGGCTGTAGGGCCACCCAGATCCTCATGTCGTTAGTGAGAAACTTCCAGCGCTTCTTCATGAGCTCGCCTGTGTCGGGAGCTCTCAGTCCGCAGGCACAGCCGTCCACGACCACCTCGTAGGGAGTATCTTCTGGAGGTCCTTCCAGCAGGTCTTTTGCCACGACCGACTGTTGCGTGGCTGCTCGGCGAGGGCCGAGCCGTTCAGGTTGAGCACCTGGTGCTCTATGAGCCTCTTGTTGTTCTCAAAGATCCGCTGGCTCTTGAGGCGCTTCCTGCGAAGATTCTCCCTCTGCCTGTCGTCGCGCTGGTTGGCGTTCTGCATTATCGACCAGGGCCCGCAGGGTGGAGTGCTGACAAAGAGCTCTGGGCGCTTCTCGTCCAGCAGGAACTTCGCCTTGTGGTAGCCCTGCGGCTTGCTGAGGTCGTTCTCGCTGAACAGACCGAGACGCTCGTAGTGGTAGCCCTTCTCGTCGCACACCTTCCCGAGGTTCGAGTCCTCGTGGGTGCGCGCTTCGACCATCGTCACGCGGCCGAAGGTCGTGAGGGCGCACATAGCTCCGAAGATGGCTGATCTCGTCATGTGAGTCGCTGCGCGGATCGCCTGGCGCTGATGACCTTTCAGTGGCCGGCTCTCGTCACTGTGCCAGCGCGACCTCTCGACCTGAACCTCACTCAGGCCCTCGTCCTGGCAGCGCATGCCTGGTGGCACCACCCGTAGGGCCTCACCTTCACGATCGGCTCGTTCTTCGCGATGCCTCGGCATAGCTTGCAGTCCGGATGCTGGCACATCTGCGTGTAGTGAGCTGGGATCGCCGGGCCTATGGTCGTCGGCGCCTTCTCCGCCTTCTTCGTCTCGGTCTCCATCTGGATCTTGATCGTCGCTGCCGCCGAGCCGCGCTGCTCGATGATGTACGCTATGATATTGTCGACCACCTCCTCCTTCTTGCCCGACTGGGTCAATCCCCACATCTTGCACAGGGGCCTGAGGTGGTTGCCCAGCGTGTCCATGCTGAGCTGCTCGTGGATCTGCTCTGAGCACAGCGCTGCAAACGCACTCACCTCCGCAAACTTGGTCAAGAAATCGGACTTTGCGGTCTCGATGGTGGCCCGCAGCTCTTGATTCTGCTCGCGCGCGGCCGCGGCTGTCGACTTCTGGGGACGTTGCTTTGCCTTCGAGCTCGGCGGACACTGCTCGATCTTCGCACGGTGCTCGAGGTCCGTCGGCCAGGTCGGGTACTTCTCTGGTAGCAGCTGCACAGGTAGGCCGAGACTGTCCAGCTTCCAGTTCACGTGGTCGATCGTCTTGAGAAAGACCTTCTGGATGACCCGCCCCCAGCGGCGGCACTGTGTCCACTGCCGGAGGAGCTTGCTGGACCACATCTCCCAATTCGGCAGATACTCCAGCAGGAAGATGTCCGTCATCCGCTTCTTGCTGTGGTCCAGCTCCGAGCTCTCGACCGTGTAGAAGATGTTGCCCTTTGTGTCCTGGTGAGTGATCAGTCGCCCCTGCGGCAATATCCGTTGTAGCGTAGACCTCGTCGACGTCGGTGAGCGGCCCGTCGCCGATGCCCCCGAGTCCTCCAGAGGCACTCGAACGTCCACCTGCTCCCAGGGGCCGTCCATCTCCTCGTTTTCCAGCTTCACTTGCCGGCCCTCGGCTTTTCGGCATTTCGTCTCGCGGTTGAGGCTCACGCGAATATGGAAAGCAATCTGGTTGCCGAAATCGGAGCTCTGAGCTCAGATCGTTCGTGGCCCAAATGGCCCTGGAGAACGGTGCTGTTTCCGTTTGGAGCGCTGGGAACTCGGGGATCTTTGGGAAAGCCTCTGAGGGTGACCCTGATGATGTCATAGCTGAGGCCGTAGGGGCTGATACAGATGATGTCCCAGACGTTTTTATTGATGATGTCCTCGTAGGCGTAGGTAATGAAGATGTCCCCGTGCTCGTAAGTGCTGATGAGGTGCTTGAGGCCTGCAGGGCTCCATGATCTGGGGCCTCGTCGGGGACCGCATGGGGCGCAGATACAGGTTGTTCGTCAGTCTTGCTTCCGATCGGCTGCTCATTTTCACGTTTTCCCTCCGGCACCGTAGCAGTCTCGGGCGTCGAGGGCGTGGGCCCCTACTCGAGGGATGCCACGAAGCCAAAATCGGCTTGCTGCGCCAGTGGCAGTGCAAGGTGGCCGCTCGGAAGGACGAGCAGCTCAGCTCGACGTCCGAGCTTCTTGAAGTAAACAGAATGTGCCTCGCAGTCGATCACAGCTCCCAGGCGGCTCAGAACATCCACTCCGATCAAGAGCGGGGCATCTGCGTCGAGGATGTTAATGCCGAGCTCACCGTCCACGCCAGCAATCTTGAGAGGAAAGGTAGCCTTGCCGGTGCAGGTCTTGGAGTTGCCATCGCCAAATATAAACGTACTCTTCTGGCTAACGTCAATATTGATGTTCTGGCCCGTCTTCTCGTAAATGATGTCGCGTAGATTCTCGGCGGCCTCTATGCCCATGATGCTGGAGGTCGCGCCAATGTCCAGGATTCCGAAACCCTTGGAGGAGCTCTGCTTCACACTCATGAGGATCCAGTCGTCAAGCTTCTCCAGTGTGAGCCAGCTCGGCAGCTTGACGTGCTCAACTCGCTCTCGCATCTCGATGGACCTCTCCACCTGAAGATACTGGGTCTTGTCGAGCTGCCTCTTCTCCCGCTTCGGCTTGTTCCTTATCACCGGCTTGGGGGGCATCGCATTCCCCAGCTCAATGCGGGTCGTCTCGTCCGTAATGAGGTCGGCCTCCATCTCGGCATCCTGCTCGGCGCCGAAGAAGACGAAAGCTCCAAACCCTCGCTTTGGGCGTTCAAGATCTCCTTTGCTGCCGGCCGATGAAGTGCGATCCCGATGATCCTTCGTCTCGCGATTGCCCCCGCACTTCAGACATGGCCCCTTTCGGGGCAGCCGACCTTGGGAGCGACCTCCATCTCGTCGAGGAGGTCCGTCACGTCGCTGTCCGCTCCCTCGGCCTCGTCCTTTGCTCGGCGAGCCAGAGCCTCGGGATCCAGCCCGGGGCCCTTGAAACTTGCGCTGTCCTCCGCAACTTTCTCGCTTCTTATTCTCATCCACGGGGTAGAACTTCCTTGCTGTCTTGACTCGTCGAAGGAGGTCTCGGGCTTCCTCGAAGCTGCGCTGCTGGGCGGCGAACGCGGTCTCGGCGTCCTCGAGCTCCTGGGCGCTGTAGAGCGGCTCCTCGGGATCTCCCTCGTCCTCGTCGCCGTCGCCATCCTCGTTGGAGACCTCCGACTGCTCTCCATCGTAGTAGCTGTAGTCGTCGTCGTCCTCGCTGTTCTCCTCCCAGCCGGCGTGGATTCGACCTCGCTCTCGATGACGATGGTTGTCCTTGCCTGTCTTCTTGTCGCGATTCGTCAACTCATCGTCGGGCCAAGATACTCGCAGCTGCTCTCCGATGCTATCATAGTCGAAGTTGCCTTTGACTGCGCTGATCACTGCTGCACGCTCGGTCGGGGGCAATCTTGATCTCTCCAGCAATAACCATCCACGCAGTTGGTCCAGAGGAATCGCCCGATTAAAGTCGGTACCGAAATCTGGATGCTCGGGGATCACCTCCAGGCCGTTGCTGACAAAACTCCAGAGCCGCCAGTTGAGGTCCTTCGCCACTTCGGCCGCATCCTCTGGGCCCTCGTGCTCGATCTTGTAAAAAAACCACTTCAGCTCACTATAGAGGGTGTTCCACAACTTTGATCTCTCGGAGAGTCGGGCCGCACGCTGCTTCTTGAAATACTCGGTGCCAAACCCTTTCACAACGTCATGGTAGGCCTCGTCGTCTTTGCTCATATAACTCGGCATCGGCTCTCCTGTGTCTCGGCGTAAGTCGAAGATCCATCTCGCTAAATACTTGCCAGCATCCTGGATGGGCTGAGCTCCGAGCTTCGCTCGAACATGTCGGAGTAGCTCGGCAGCTCCGTCGTCTTTCTCGATGCGGTCCCAGTCTACGTCCTTAGCGGCTTGTCGGGCTCGACCTTCTAGTCGTCTCCATAGACGTGGGCCGCACACATATCGTTCATCTCGCCTCGTCCCTCGGATGTAGGCTTTGACGTCTCTCTCGTAATCGTCCACCGTGGTGAGATCTCCATTCCACTTGGGTATGATGTCATCGTTGCGGTTGTTCTTCGTCATGGCTCACACGATGAGCTTATGTCCGTGAATCTGTAGTCCGTGGAGCTTAGCAGCTCCGCTACCATGCAATGGTCCCGCTTATGACCACTGCCCTGATAGCAACCCTGATAGATGCTACTCTCTTCTCTCTTCTGACAATACGTTGGAATCACTGTAGGGGATGTTGGGCTCGTCTCAAACTGGTCGTCTATGATAGGGCAGTGTCTGTGCGATGCTGATCACACTATGGTAGGGAGCAGGATCTGTTTGTTAGCGGGCAGTTCGCTGCTCTGCGTCTCTTGAACGCACACCAGAAATCCAGCGTCGCTGTGACGCTGCAAGGTCTTGAGCCAAAACGGTTTCGGCTGAACCTGTTCTATGTTTAATATATGTTGCAACTTGTTGCTAGGGAAACGGAGGGCCTACTAAGCAAGGCTTGCTGAAACCTGGAGTCTTGGGAGGCCCGATTCGCCGGGAAACGCTTGGCTAACATACACGAGGCTCCTTTGGAGCCTGAAGCATATATATATATATATGTATATATATATGTATATATATATATATATATATATACATATATATATATATATATATATATATATCACGCTAGGCCTCTAGGGGCCATCTGTCGTAAGTAGGCTCTGAAGAGGAAGGCTCTGGGCTGTGAATTGCACCCTGGGGGCGTCTGGGGCACTGCGAAGACGAAGCTAGCAATTATGCTGAAAATGTACGTTTTGAACAGAAAATGGGCCGATGTTTGCCTCTTGAAGGCCCTCTTGGGGCCCTCTTCGGCCATCTTCAAGCCATCTCGGGCCCTCTGGGGCCTCGCTGAGGCTGTCTTGTGGGCCTCTTGGGCGTCCTCGGAACCCAAAAATCATGTTCCCGGAAAGGCTTCCAGGAACATGATTTCGAACGGGGCCCTCTTGGGCCTCCCTGGGGCCGTCTTGGGGGCCTCCTGGGCCGGCGTTGGGGCCTCTTGGGCCGTCTCGGGGGGTTCGGTGAGCCCCACAGGCCGACCCTTTTGGGCCGTCTGGGGCCCTCTTGGGTCTCTCTTGGGCTGTCTTGGGGCTCCGCGGGGGCGTCTGGGGCACTGCGAAGACGAAGCCAGCGAGCATGCCGAAAATGCACGTTTTACAAAGGAAATGTGCCGATTTGTGCCTCTTCAAGGCCCTCTTGGGGCCCTCAGGGGCCTTCTTGGGGCTCTCTTGGGGCCCTCAGGGGACCACTTGGGGCCTCTTGTGGCCTCTTCGGAGGCTTCTGGAGACTGAGGGCTGGAATTTTCGGCGAGGGGGCCACGATCCTCGTGAGGGGTGCCAGAAAAATGCCCAGGGGGCCCCCATGGTGACCAGAGGCAGCAGCCGGGCCCCCCCCGGCCAACTCTGATATATATATATATATATATATATATATATATATATATATATATATATATATATATAGGTATGTATGTATGTATGTATGTAGGTAGGTAGGTAGGTAGGTAGGTAGGTAGGTATGTATGTATGTGTGTGTATGTGTGTGTGTGCAAAACCAAGGCGTAAAAAAACAATACACAGCACGCAACACACAACACGAAAACAATACGTCAAAACAGCGCGTGACCACAACGCGTAAACACTACGTGCGCACAACGCGTAATCCACGTTAAAGTTCGCTCACCCCACGGAAGAAGAAAACAAAAACCAAAACAACACGTGACAACAACACGTAAACACAACACGTAAAACAACACGTAAACCAATACGTAAAACAACACGTAACAACACGTACGAGCAACACGTCTATCAATAGGTAAATGCAACGTGGGTTTAAATTAACATTGAGGAAAACAATTAACGTGCTCCTCCTCTTCCTCCTCCGCCTTCTCCTCGGTGTGCCCGACCCCCCCTTCTCCTCCCTCTCCTCCTCCCCCTCCCTCCCTCTTCTCCTCCTCCTCCTCCTCCTCCTCCTCCTCCTCCTCCTCCTCCTCCTCCTCCTCCCCCTAGTCCTCTCCTCCTCCTCCTCCTCCTCGTCCTCCTCTCCTCCTCCTCCTCCTCCTCCTCCTCCTCCGCCTCCGCCTCCGCCTCCGCCTCCGCCTCCGCCTCCGCCTCCGCCCCCGCCCCCGCCCCCGCCTCCGCCTCCTCCTCCTCCTCCTCCTCCTCCTCCTCCTCCTCCTGTCTTGGATGCCTTGGATCTGCGCTGGGCACCCTTGGTCGCGCCTCCGGCACCGCAACTGTCGCGCTACGCGCGGCAGGGAGGGGGGTCCAAGAACGATCCAATAAATCACGCAGAGGGAGTGAGAGAGAGAGAGAAAGGCAGAAATTCTCATGTGTACCACCTTCCTTTCGGATGATGGTGTAAAACGTCTGCTTTCACTTGGTTGTGCCTGAGAGACGACTGGAGCGCCGCGGCTGTTCCAGAGCGCTCTGGAACGCTCCGAGAGCGTGCCAGACCGCTTTGGAGCGAGTCCTTCAGCCTGGGCCTGCCTGGTATGTGCCCTGACTGGGCCGCTAAAGACCGACCGAACGCTCACAAACGGCCTTTCGCTGATCGGCATGGGAAGCCAACGGGAGACCGTCGTGCAGCCCGCCCGCCTCGGTCGGCAGTCCGGGCACGACGAGCTGACCCAGGCACTCGCAGCGCTTGCCGTCCTCCCAGGCCAGGATGCGGGCGGGCCGCTCACAGAGGAGCAGCCGCACGCAGAGGAGCCACGAGGAGCAAAATGAGTCAGCCCTGCGAGTGACGAGGAGGAGGGAGCCGAGTATTGGGAGCACGAGGAGGAGAACCTTGACGACGAGGAGAGAGACGCCGACCAGAACACACGGAGGTCGCTAACCCTCGCAAGCACATGCACCACAATCAGCAACGCCTCGTTCACGCCACTGCAGAACTCGCGGCGGCCGATCCTCCGCAGACCTGGGCAAATTTGCACGTGCTGCGCGTTCGTTCTGAATGCAATTGGACTCGTCATCTGCAGGCCACTTGCCGGATACGCATGCGGGGGGCCAACTTGCATGGCCATGCGCGGGCCGAGCGCTGGAACGACATCCGGCCACATGTGCATCCAGCTCTCGCCCAGGTCGGCCGCGTCAAGTGCCTCCAGCTTCCTGGTGAAGCATCGCGCGTACAATCTGCACCCCCACCCACGTCGCGATCGCCACTCCCGCCATCCAAGTCATGAGTACATGCGTTCTTGGAACTCGTCTGTAAGAGATTTGCATTAGGGGAACTTTCGACGGTCCATGCGGATTTCCTGGATTTCCGCTGGATCCCCCTCCCTGGCACGCGGAGCGCACCAGAGGCGGTGCGGGAGCCGCCGCCAGGGGGGTCCAGCCCAAATCCGAGAAATCCCCGCGGAACTTCGACAAGCTACGTTTACGCATGCAGTTGTTTGATTGTTCGCATGTTGTCTGTGCGCCCTGCACGTGCGGTCGAGGTCGCAGGTCGCGGTGCCGTCGGCTTTGAGCTCAGTGCAAATAAGCCCGGCGCTCTCAGGCACGAGGAGGAAGAGGAAGAGGAGGAGGAGGAGGAGGAGGAGGAGGAGGAGGAGGAGGAGGAGGAGGAGGGAGGAGGGAGAAGGAGGAGGAGGAGGAGGGAGGAAGAGGGAGGAGGGCGGAGGAGAAGGAGGAGGGGGAGGGCGGAGGAGGAGGAGGAGGAGGAGGAGGAGGAGGAGGAGGAGGAGGAGGATATGGGACACAGGTTACGGTCGGGAATTCTTGCTCAGCGTATCACGGCGGCGGCTCTGGCGACGCGCTATCCCCTGCGAGCTGGTGGCGTGCCGCCAGCTAGGCGACACGGTAAGCCAGAGTTCCTGACCGTAAGCCCTACGCGCGTAGCCCTGAGCGAAAGAGCCTCTGCGTTCCAGTGATGGCGTCACTGCGGCCGCGTTTTCACAGATTGGAGGGCTTCTGCAAGTTGTCCCCAAATATCCGAGACATTGTTCGGACTCCTTGGTCTTGGGTCGTTGCATTGGCGGCGCTCGCCGTTGCCCGGGTTCCTTGGTTTGGGTTCCTTGCATTTTTCTTGTGGAAAACAAGCCTGACCCTCCGGGGCTTGTCACCACAATGCGAAGTGGAGAAATTTGAAACAAGCGGCGGAGGAAGAGGAGGAGGAGGAGGAGGAGGAGGAGGACAACGCAGAGTCCGCAAGTGGGGGCCAGAAGATTTTTTTCTCCGCGCAAATATTTTGGAGAGGGGGAAGGAGGGCAGAGGAGAGGACGCGAATCGACGATGAGCAATGCCCCACACTTCTCACTCGGTGCAGTCTGCGACTACTGGCGAAAAGCGCAAGAGACGAGATGACACGTGCGGAAAAACCTGACATGGCAGATTCCCGCCTCCGCCGTGTCGATGCCTCAATGTGATCGCGGCTACAATGTAAACTTAAACTCGCGCGTGCGTAGCCCATACTGGCGCAAAATGGTGGGACTCGCACTGGTGCCCAACGCAAGTGGGGAGGAGGGCGAACGACGAAGAGAAGGAAGAGGGACAAGAAAGGCTAGAGACTGGAACACAGGCCCGCCATACAGCACGCGGTGCGGTAATCAAACACTGGGTCAAACTGGGCGTGCAAGGGAAGAGGCGGCAGGAACGAAGGAGGGCAGAAGCGGCGGCAGCAGCGGCAGCAGAGACGGCGGAGGAACGCCGGAGCACGGAAGAAAGGAGGCGTCTGGAATAAAAGACCTCGCATGTACCCATCGAGGGTTCCCTGGCCACGAGGCGCGACACGGAATCGCGTGCCTCGCCGATCGACGCTGCAATGGAGCAGTGCGGGCTGGCCGGTTTCTGGCCGCCTGCCCCGTACGAGAGTCAGGGGTGAGAAGACAACAAGCAACCGTTGGTGAAACCGGAAGCCTCTGCCTCGAATGCCCAACCCCCCCCAGGGGGGCCACAAGCCCGAGAAGGCAGAGGACCGAAACCCCGAACGACGACGACGACGGCGACGACGACGAAACGAGACGACGACGACGACGACGACGACGACGACGACGACGACGACGACGACGACGACGACGACGACGACGACGACGACGACGACGACGA